CTACTACTACTACTACTACTACTACTACTACTACGACTACGACTACTACTACTACTACTACTACTACTACTACTACTACTACTACTACTACTACTACTACTACTACTACTACTACTACTACTACTACTACTACTACTACTACTACTACTACTACTACTACTACTACTACTACTACTACTACTACTCCTATCCTTCTGAACAATTCCTCCATGTCGCACCCCGAGGCCGGTCGGGGGAGCGAGCAAGGCGTTTCGCATGAGAACGCCTACGTTACTACTTATGAGCCTGAAGCCGACAAACTGACAACAGTTTCGCTGATGGAGGGCGGGTGGTTTTCAAAATATGGCTCCCGCCCTAAAGCCGCGCACAATCATTTTAGAAAACTGACAGAGCTTCAACGATTGAGTGCGGATGGTTTTCAAAATGTGGCTCTCCACTTTGCGCCGCGCACACTCTGTCCAAAAATCCGCAAGAACATCACAAATTGAGGGCAGGTCGTTTTCAAAATGTGGCTCTCGCCTTGGAGCCGCGAACATTCGTTTTGAAGAACTTGCAAGAGTTTTACGGATTGAAGGCGGGTGTTTTCTCAAATGTGCCTCTCCCATCAGCGCCACGCACAGTCATTTTAAACATACGCAAGAGATTCACGGATTGAGGACAGGTCATTTTCAAAATGTGGCTCTCGCCTTAGCGCCGCGCACACTCCCTGTGAAAATATGACAGGGTTTCACCGACTGAAGGCGGGTGATTTTCAAAATGTGGTTCACCACTTTGCGCCGCGCACATTCCATTTAAAGCTTCGCAAGGACTTCGCGTATTGGTCTTCCAGATACGGTTCTTGCCTGATGAGTCTTGGATGTACACTGGTCTTCCTCCTCCTCCTCCTCCTCCTCCTCCTCCTCCTCCTCCTCCTCCCCCTCCTCCTCCTCCATCCCCTCATCCTCCTTCCCCCCTCCGAGGCCCGGCGGCCGCCAATTTCCTGCTCACCTCGCCGAAGGCCGAGCCGGCCGATCGGGCGGGCAGCGCGCTGAGCCCAAGCGCGGCCTCACGCCGCTCGGCAGCGTACGCGCGGGTGCTCACCGGAAGGAGGGGGATCAAGGAAGGTGATGATGGTGGTGACGATGATGATGATGATGAAGATGATGATGATGATGATGATGATGATGATGATGACGGTAAAAACAACGATGATGATGATGATGATGATGATGATGATGCGGATGGTGTTTGGTGATGAAGATGACGGCGGTGGTGGTGACGGTGATGATGATGATGGTGATGATGGCGGTGATGGTGATGGTGCTGGTGATGATGATGATGATGATGGGATGATGATGGCATTGATGATGATGGTAATGATGCAATGATGAAGATGATGATGGCGACGCTGATGTCGATGTCGGTGATGATGATGATGATGACGCCGATGGCGATGCCGATGCTGATGATGATGTTGATGCTGATGCTGACGACGACGACGACGGCGATGATGATGAGGGCTCAGCGCATACAGCAGGAGGAGGGCCCCAACAATGGACCTGCACCGATCCTCGCCGGGCCCATCTCGGACCTAGGGCCGGAATAGATTCACGTCGGGCATGTCCACCATACAGGCGGATTTGGGACGAAAAAATTGAAAATAGCCAAACCATATTCAACATTGACACAAAAAACGAAAATTAAAGAAATCGTCCCCTGACTGCGTTTCGACTATTCTTGGACTTTCCACTTGTAGAGCGACGTCAGGGCACCCCTTCGAGTAACCCCATCGGGCCTCTCAGGGGTGGTACGGCGGGCCCGCACCTACTGTGGCTGGTCAACCACAGGGCAAGAGTCTACCCCACAGCCCCGTCGAGCTGTGGTGCCCATCGGGCTGTCAGCCCGCCTGTTTTCCTGGGACCCCACGAGGACACCCAGCGGCACAGGTGTCTCCTCCTCCTTCTCCTCCTCCTCCTCCTCCTCCTCTTCCTCCTCCTCATCCTCATCCTCCTCCCCCTCTCCTCCTCCAACTCCTCTCCTCCTCCTCCTCCTCCTCCTCCTCCTCCTCCTCCTCCTCCTCCTCCTCCTCCTCCTCCTCCTCCTCCTCCTCCTCCTCCCTCCATCTCCTCCTCCTCATCATCCATCCTGCTCCTCCTCCTCCTGCTCCTCCTCCTCCTCTCCTCTCCTCCTCCTCCTCCTCCATCCTCCCTCCTCCTCCTCCTCCTCCCTCCTCCTCCTCCTCCTCCTCCTCCTCCTCCTCCTCCTCCTCCTCCTCCTCCTCCTCCTCCTCCTCCTCCTCCTCCTCCTCCTCTCCTTCTCCTCCTCCTCCTCCTCCTCATCCTCCTGCCATCCTCCCTCTCCTCCGCTCCCTCCTCCTCCTCCTCCTCCTCCTCATCCTCCTCCTCCTCCTCCTCCTCCGCCTCCTCCTCCCTCCTCCCTCCTCCTCCTCCTCCTCCTCCTCCCTCCTCCTCCTCCTCCTCCCTCCTCCCTCCTCCTCCTCCTCCTCCGTCCTCTCCCCTCCTCCCTCCCCTCCTCCTCCTCCTCCTCCTCGTCGTCTCCTCCTCCTCCTCCTCCTCCTCCTCCTCCTCCTCCTCCTCCTGCTCCTCATCCTCCTCCTCATCCTTTTCCTCGTTCTCCTCCTCCTCGTCCTCCTTCTCTTTCTCATCCTCATATGAATAGTCTTCGTATTATGTCAAGTGTGTGTATGTGCTCCTTGTGTAGTGTTAGTGGCATTATTCTTAGTCGTCGTATGAGTAGTATGATGATGGTGCGTATTATTCGTCTGCTTCGTCGTAGTATTCCTATGAGTCGTAGTAGTAGCCGTATGATGAGTATGATTAGTAGTGGTATTAGGTTCATTATTATTATGACTATTGTTATACGTATGAGTTTTCGTAGTATTATGATTAGCCTTCGTCGTGCTCGTAGTCTTAGTGTTCTTAGTAGTATTAGCATTCCGAGTGTTCTTGCGATTGGTGTTCGTACCATTCGTCTTCTTGTTATGATCAGTAATCGTAGTATGGTTATTATTCGTCTCAGTGCTATGCTACTATCTAATCATATGATTCGTACTAGTAGTGCTATTATGCTTATTAATATTCGTATTCGTTTGCGTTTTCTTCTTTCTATGATTCCTCCTCCTCCTCCTTTTCCTCCTCCTCCTCCTCCTGTTTCTCCTCCTACTCCTCATCGGCCTCCTCCACCTCCTCCACCTCCTCCTCCTCCTCCCTCCTCCTCCCTCCTCTTCCCTCCTCCTCCCTCCTCCACCCTTCTCCTCCTCCTCCTCCTCCTCCTCCTCCCATTCGTTTTGAAGGTCAGGCCCTCCCCTCGCTGCCGCCGCGTGTTGATGTCGGCAGCCGCCGACGGCCGCGCAGGAGCCAAGGCATCCGGGGCAGCGCCGCGAGGGCACGAGGCCTGCACGGAGGAGTTCGCGGCGGTCGAGCTCCGCCTGGAGGCTCGTCCGCCCCTCTGGAGGTCGAGCGTCGAGTGCTGGCTGCCCGCCATGCCTGGACCCGGAAGGCCGCATGCTGGTGGTCTCGACCCCGCTCTGGGCGGTCTTTCATGCGTTCATCTTCGTATCCATCATTGGGGCGTCGAGCTGGGTCGATAGCGTGCTCACCGAATTGTCTATAGCTGGCAGTCTATCCCTGGCGACTTCGTGGATCGCGGGCACTGGTACTAGCCCCCGTGGCCGTCTGCTTGCCTGCCTGCCTCGCCCGTGCTCGACCAAGCTCAGGGCGAGCAGGCACTGCTGACGCTACAGGTGCTTGTCCACCCAGCAGCTTGCCCAAGAAAAACGAGAGGAGGATCGAGGTGGACGGTTTCCCCTGGGGCCGTAGGCGACCCGAGCATGGGAAGGCGAGGAGGGGGAGACGGGGGAGGAGGAGGAGGAGGAGGAGGAGCAGCAGCAGCAGCAGCAGGAGGAGGAGGACGAGGACGAGGACGAGGACGAGGAGGCGGAGGAGGAGGAGGAGGAGGAGAAGGAGGAGGAGGGGGAGGAGAGAGAGGAGGAGGACGGGTCGCCTAAGCCCTTCGGAGACACCTCCAGATCGGGGGTTGTGGAGGATAGAGATTCGAGTAGGCCATCCCTCGTGCCCGGCCCCTGCGAGCCCGCGTCGGGCCCGAACAGCCGTCGTCGGCGTCGTCGTCGTCGGCGTCGTCGGCGTCGTCATCGTCGTCGTCGTCGTCATCGTCGGCGTCGTCGTCGTCGGCGTCGCCGTCGTCGACGACGTCGGCAGCGAGGGCCGGGCGGCCGCGAGGGTCTGGAGGCCGCGAGGGGCACAGGGCGCGGCGGGCGCGCGGCTCCCTGGAGCGCGCAGCGGATCCCGGTGCAAGAAATTGGCCAGGCTGCACCGACAAGCAGGCGGGAGGGTGGGACTTTCTTTACTTTTCTTTTCAACGGCACTGATGTCACCACTGTCACCATCGAACTCCGCCGTATGTCGTAGCGAAGGAGGGGGAGGAGAAGGAGGAGGGGAGGAGGAGAAGGAGGAGGGGAGGAGGAGAAAGAGGAGGAGGAGGAGGAGGAGGAGAGAGGAGGAGGAGGAGGAGGAGGAGGAGGAGGAGGATGGATGGATGGATGGATGGAACGCTGGGGGGGCGCAGCGTCTCAGTGCGACGGTTTGCTCATCTAAGGGCGATGCTCTGCCTTATGTAGTGCCCCCTGCGTGGAACTTGAAAGCGGTCGAGGGGCTAACGCTTCTATACCGCAGCCTAGCCCGCTGGAGCGAGAGACCGCTTAGCCTCTCGTTCCAGTGGACCGTCGGCAGAGATGCATAAGCATGATCCCACCGCTTCACACCTCGGAAACCCTACGCCTCCCCCACCTGCCTCCTATGGGGCGCGGTGAGTAGGACGACGCATCAGCCTGTAAGCGTCTGCTAACATCTCTCTCGCTTTGCTGCTACCTGCTGCTGCCACGCGCTCAAGATTAGCTAGTATGCTAGGATCGCTCGAAGCATGCTGCGAAACTATGGCACGGGCAGGTGGGATAGTGGAGGACGAAGAGGAGGGGAGGCTCGGAGGCACAGGAGTAGGGATAAGAGTATACTGGATAGGCTGGCATCTGGGACCCCTGGAACCCCTGGAATCACTCTTCGGCTGGGCGCCATCTCCCCCACCTCGGGGAGATGTCGCCTGGCCGTCTTTGCCCCTTTCAGGAGTCCCATGCCTCTCTGCTGCGCTGTCTGCTGGCACACTGCTGGTAGGCTCACCGCTCACCGCTCCAAATTGGCGCGGAACTGCCTCTCCACCACCCTGACGATCTCTGGCTTCGGCGCCTGACCCTGCATCTTCTCCGCTCCGCTCTTCTTCATCGCGACCAGGAAGGATGTGCGAACCTCCTCGATCGCGAGGCCATCCTCCATCATCTCGCCGCCCTCGAACGCGCGGAAGTCCGCCCACTTGTTGAAGTTCACCGTCACCTTCGTCATCTTCTGCTCTTCGGGCTTGTCCTCCTTCACGTATGCGTCCTTCACCCTGCACACCCTGAACGTCTCGCTCACCACTGTCTGTCCCTTCTCTCCGTTCGCCAGGCGAAGCCACTTGCCGATCACCTCTGCGCTCGGTAGGCCCTGCAGCTCCTCGTGCATCGCCTCCATCATTGCCATCGATACCTGTAAAAGCGGAGAGCCAAGTCCATGGCCCTTCCCCTTGTCCTTGACTGCCTTCTGGTAGTCCGCCGCTGCCTCCCTGCCGCTCTTGACCACCTGCGCGCTGCTCGGGCACAGCCAAAAGTCGTAGATCGCCGCTGTCAGCTCGCGGCCTTGGGCGTCCTGCGACAGGCCGAGGCGCTGGAGGCTGATGATGTTCTCCATAATCTCTCCCTCGAGCTTCTCCTTCTCTCTCCCCTTGCCGTCTGCTCTGCCCTGTTTTTTTTCTCGTTGACCTCCTGCTTGTCCTGCTGGTGGCCGCTTCGGCGCTCTCCACCCTGGACGGCCTCCCGCTGCACTCGCCGCTCCCTCCGTACTTGGATACACGAAGGCCCTCTGGGCCTGAATGACGCGTCACTGCGCGGGTCTGGAACTCCTCGAGGTCTCGAGCCATAAAGCTGCAGAGGGAGCAATTCAAGTTGTCGGGTATAATCAACTCGTACTCCCATCTCCCATAGTTTGCGTAACAGGTCTTGTTGTTGCCTTCTGCTGCTGCCATAACATGATCAACTGCTACTTGCCTGCTTGCGAATACTGTTCGACACCACGGGCATTGATTCGCACGCGTAAGTAGCCCCAGGACTGATCTACATCTGCGTGATTGCTGCTGATGTGCTGCGAATGCTCTGTATGATGCGTATGTTTGCCACACTCCACCTCCACCCCCTCCTTCGTGATCCCCATGTTGCAGATGAAAAATTTGCCCATGTCGTCTATGTTTTTGTCCTCCATCTTGCTGAGCTCCTCCTTCCTCATCCTTCTAAGCCTCCTCGAATGAGAGCGGGCGGTGAGGACATCGGTAGAGCGCCATTTTTCACGTTGCTCGGTACCCTCCACGAACAGCAGCCAATCTCTGCCATCATCGGGATACCATTCGCAGAAATCTTCGCTAAGAATCGCCAGCAGCTTCAAATCGTCCTGGACCAGCTTCGCCCACGGCGTGCTGTCACGATAAACTCGCATGCAATCATCAAGTCTACTGATGCCCTCCTCCTCCTCCATCAGCGCGCTTCCGTAAATAGCCCCAAGAACCTGTTTCGCTTCTTCTGGAAACCTCCCCCAGCTCTGATAACGTTTAATACGTCGTATAAAAAGCTCCGTGGCCGTGTCGTTTATGCTCCAATACTCGAAAACCTCGTGCGTGCTCATGGATTTCGTTTTCCCCTCAGGCGTAACCCAGCTACGGCTTCCCCCGGCTAGTCTTCGGAGCAACTTAATCATGATTTTGTTCAAGTAGGCGTTGCGCTGCGGTTCCAACGCCATCGCAGTCATTCCCGAGAGTGCCGCCCCCTGGACCAAGCTCTGAAACATCAACCTTTTTGTCTTTTAAAGTTCCTTTGCTTTCCAGAAAACTCCTCCTTCTCTCCACGCTCGATGCATCGCCTCCCCCCTCCGCCTTACTTCATCGGCGATGGTCCCGTCGGCTGCTAGGCAGGGCCCTAGCATTCTCATGTGCCTCTGGACCTCGCCCTTGACGCCGTACTGCTTCTGATGTAATCTGCGCGTCGTGGCTTGTGCTCCTATACCTCGCAGACCAACAAGGTGATGGGTCTCATCTGCATTCAAATGAGAACCACCTTCTGCAATATAGTGCTCAAGCCGCTCCGTCGCGTAGTGGATCTTCGTAACTGCCTCCTTGACGCTCGGAGTGCCCAACCAAACATGTGTGCGTGTAACATCGTCCATAAAAGTAGCCAACCCAATATCAGCTTCTTCTCCTGCCTTCATCGTGGGGCTTCTCGTCCTCAGCAAACCGTAAGTGATGTCATGTTCCTTGAGATGCCCGTTCCACTTGTCGATGAGGGGGTTGTAACAACCGTTGAAATCTCTCGGTGCAAGACAAAATCCCATCTGGCTTCCACTCTTCGGCATCATGCTAATCTCCTCGCCGCTGCCTTTGAAAACCATTGAAGCGTGCTCAAGCGTGCCCACTGCAAAAGGAATGTATTTTTCCAAACTATGTCGTCTCGCAACTTCTTCCAACTTCTCTCTTGAGGTGCATCCAAAAGCGCTCGCGCAGTCAAAGTTGCTGGTGATCTGGCTGCGGCCCAATGATAAAATGCGCCATCTGCAACCCATCGTCGTAATCAAAGCGCCCTCACGACATTTCTTTCCAAGCCCACCATGTGCCCAATACGGTCGCGTAAGTTTTGGAGCTCGCATGTGAATACCGCTGTGGAAACCCATCGACCAGGCGCAGTAACAATGCATCACACGACGTCCAAGGATACCAGGCTTCCCGTTGCTCTTGTACATGCTGAATGATGATGCTCGTAGACTATCTATCGGCACGGCCTCGCAAGTCCTGGTCTTCGCCATGTATTCCGAATACCTTCTCTGGAAAAGCTCTGCTTTGCAACTCATGACCTCGGTGCCACGTCCAGCTCTGAAATGCCTGCGGAAAAATCCAATAGTCTGGTAATACTGCTTCCGCTGCTTCTCTGTGAGGGTTCGCCCCCAGTGCCGATCCTGGAACCCATCCCATCTTCATCAAAAGAGCCCGTCCTTTATTGGTCTGCGGAACCTCCTCGTCCTCCTCGTTCTGCCTTCGGCTAAGAGCCGCTGCCACTCGCTCGCTTGCTTCATTCGGGTCCTTGATAGTTTCCAAAGGTTTTTCGATCAGCAGCGCCATCTCACCTGGTCATCCCCATGCTGGATAAGCCCTGCGCTTGCATGTCTTTCTCAAATATCTTACAATTGCTTGTCTGTCTTCACGTACGTCCCCCATCAATTCTGCATCCAGAAATCCCGCGTCGCCCTCGCCGTCATTGTCAACCTTCAAGCAGTACTCCTTCTTCACTTCCTCGTAGTTGATAACTTCTGCTTTCAGCCCTCCATCTTCGCCATCGTTCTTCAACTCGCTTCCCCATTCCTGTGCTTCCATATTCGTACGAGGTGGGTAGAAATAACTTTTCCGCGGTCCACGTCCTGCACCACTGTATTGACAACGTCAGGCATGTAGTTCTGCAAAGTTGCGTTCTTCTGCTGCAATGCACATTGCCTCCACCAGCTCTGCTTTTCTGCGCTTATCCCGAATCTCTCGCTCGCTCTTCAAGGTCGCCGTGATCTCCTTTAGTTGGGTCTGAATCTGCTCAAGCTCCTCATCTCCCGCGCTGTTCCCCCTCGTCTGTTTCAGATCCCTCCTTTTGTCAAGAAATTCCATTCGCAATTGAGTAGCCGCGACCATCCACTCTGGTTGAACTTTAATTCCTTGTGGAAAAACTTCTTCCATCGCTTTGCTCACAGAACCTCTGAGTAAGTCCCACATCTCATCTGGCGTGTGTCTGCTCTTTGCTTGCTGCCATCGCTCCTCCTCGAGATTCTGCCGCAGCTGTTCGATCCTCTGAAATAGATCTTCTCGTCGAGTACCTTTTCGTAAACACTTCATCAACTCATTTCGGTCAACTCGCACTGGCCAGCGCTGCCCTCGTAGATCTGTATTGCAATCGATAACCAATGCCACTGAAATATGATCTCGTGGTTCGCGATGCCGTATCGGTTGTAGACGTCGTCCAGCAACTGGTAAGGTTCGGCATTCTTTAACTGCTGCAGCTGCTCCATCTGGTATAATGATGTGGTCAATTCTGCTTTGCCCTTTCTCGCCAAAGTACGTGCTGCCCAGCTCGCGGACGAATGTCGTCTGAACCCGTAAATGCGTGCTCAAGCATGTGCGTCTAATCTCTTTGCCATTTCCATTTTCAAACTTCGGTTCACATCCTCCGATCGCCGTGCCTTTAGTAAACCCCACTGCCCCCGTAGGGCCTCTCGCCAAGCCAAAATCTGAATTACAATCTGCACACCAAATAATCGTCGTGATGCGTCCATGTCGATCACAAATATGCTCCACCCAAGAAGAATGCGCTTCGCCAGCTCGTCGTTGGTCTTCTTTCCCACTGGGGCGTAGTAAGTTCCAATCAGAAGTATGTCCATCGTGCCAAGCTTCAGTCGTAGCGCTGCCGCTCTCCCTCGTAGTCCCAGCGGTGGGTGGTGTATCTGATTTAGACATGTCCTCGGCAGTTGGTTCGACAACAGGAAGCTGATACCACAACTGTTGTTGACCCAGCAACTCCTCCTCCATCCACAATGAATTGCCCAATGATTTGGTAATTGCTGTATTGCTGCTGGGTGTTCCCAATCTGCTCGTCTCTTCGTGCCCGTCAGCGTGATCAGCTGCCACTTCTTCAGCTCCCTGCTGATGTCTTCGCACCGCTCCCCCCATGCATGTTGTGGATTGTACTGTACCACTCCCACCATAAGTAAACGGAAGATGGTGAGCACCTCGCCGAACCGCATCGCCACGCAGAAGCTCACCCGCGCAGCGCCGCCATCCCTCGCGGTGCCGTGTGTCGCGTCCCTCGGGGTTGGGACTC